ATACGAAACGAGATGAGTTGTCGTTCTTGATCGTTTTGCTGTTACCAAAAGCCTCTAAGATCGGATTCGCTTGCAGGAGCTGCTCTTCTAGACGACCCTGAATGAAGCCAAACTAATGGATTCAGTTTACTTGCTCTGTGGTGATAGTGAAGACACCAGCAGTGAACCTTTTTAACTGCAAACCAAACGTATGAATACACTCTAATCAAAAACCTTCTGTAGAAGTTCGCTTTATGTGTGCAAGGTAAACCGCTACATATAATACTTCACGCTGATGAGTACCAATACGCTAGGTACAGCAGAAAAAAAAACAGGATAAAGATTAAGAAACTTAATAAACAGGATTTATATTTCAGTAATAAACGCTGTTTCACGTTCACACGCACCACAAGCCGTGAGTGGACTGGGTCGCCGTTGGTGTTTCCAACTCGCTGAAGTGCAGAAAAGAATAGCTGGTACAAATGTGCATAGTAAAGCAACACTACCTTACTGTTACTCGACCTCGGTGCGGCGACATGAGCAAGGTATTGGATCACCTTCTTAGTGTTCTCTGTTTTGCCGGCACCTGACTCTCCTCTAAAAGGTTAAATGTTACAGAAAATCTTGATAAAAAAAACTGTAAATGAAGCAAATCACGAACGTGCAAAGGATGGATTGATCTTCTCGATCCTGTAGCATATTGCGATACGCTTCGTCAGTTACCGCAAAAATATGCGGTGGCATCTCCTTCCTTTTCTTTCCCTAGAAGCAATTGTACTACTGGTGCCAGATGCCTAGATTAGACTGAAGCAATAGTGGTGGACGCAATACCAAAGGGTATTATCCTGAGTGAGATATTCCAGGAACCCTAATGGAATACTCTACATAACACAGGTGTTGCACAGTGCTTACATAGAAGGCTTGTTTCTCCCACACAATAACTGTCAATGACACTGACCTTGTATTGTTCAGCGATGGAATCAGTATAGATCGGAAGTCGTTTATATGGATTTACAACCACACAAAACAGCCCAGAATATGTCTGTAATGGAATCAAGCAGTAAGAAGTGATCTCGTACTTCATTTTTCTCTTAGAGATCTTGAAATGTGAAATGAAAGGCTTCTCCCGAGTATCACTGCGCAAGCACTCCTCCTGACTCCCTTAGTGATGTGTCTCTAACATGTATAGGTCTCTCATATTAATCAGTTTCGTCTTGAGTAGATAGCGATACAGTAATTGTCAAGTGATTTTTGCAGGGCCTTATATCTGAGAGCGTAATTTAGGAGAACCCTTCCCATAGGCCATAAAACATAGTCCACACAACATTAGCCAGCGAGTCATACTTAGGTTGTGAGGGCAGCCGTGTGGTAGGGTGAGACAACTATCTTCGACCTTCGCCAAAATCCTTCCTATTTCTTAGTAAGCAGACTAACTTGCTCTTGAGTTGTCTCGCGTTTAGTATTTTAGTCATGTTTTAGATGTGATGTGTCAGATCGAGCGCTTTTTAATGTATGTATGATTTCCAGGTGTGTCTCTGGTGCTTCAAATTCCTTGTTGCAAACATAATTGTGTGTCCGTCCGCAAAATGAAGTGAGTGAGAAGGAAGCTCATGGGATAAACAAACCGCTAACAAATCGGGTAGCTTACAGGATTTGAGATATTCATGTTTTGTTAGCAGAGATACGTATTGTATGCTGATAACAAGTTCTTAGGGATATATCGTACTGTATGAAACACCATTGTGTTGCATACGCGTCACTTCCAGGAGGTGTTGGTGTCACAGGAGGAAGGGACCATAGCGGAGGATAGAAAGCTTGCGCAGGAAAGGAAGGTCCCGGCGGTTGACGGGGGACTAATCTGGTATATTCATAATCAAGTAGCAGAAATCACATTTTGAACTCACCATCAGATGAGAGTTAGAGAAAAAACCGCCTGTCTAAGGTTATGTAGAACGGAAGCCTCGTTTAAGCACGACATGCTTGACATGTCTTCACACTTGTCGAATCTGGGTGGATTTACTTTCTGGTAATCATCACGACTAACACGCTGACGTTCGTGTGAATCGAGTAGTTCAACCTTTGCACGGTTTAACCTGAAATAAGTACTTAGCAACTCGTAAGAAGGGATACTAATTTTTCATAATATTCACTTTCATGAATCAGCTTCAATGATTTTATGAACGATTAAAGCGAACCCGATCCTGTATCGATGAGGTACCCACACAAGAGTTTTGCCGTGAGCTTCAGCGGCTTTTATGCGGCCAGCCAATTCATTGTGACTCGCCTGATTTGAATAGTGAGTAAATGAACTCAGAACATAAACTTGATAGAATTTTCAAGTGCTTAACTCAGTAACTTACTTTTAGGGACATCCAACTCGGTTTCTTTTCGTGACAAGTATATAGACATGAAGTTTTATGACAAGAGTAAGCTGAAACATGATGTTAATATGATGCTGGGGAGGGAAAGCCACTGGAAGTATCAGCAACGAAGCCAAGGACAAGAGTAAAGCGAAATCACCGTTTCGGAGGCGTAGTGAATATGAAATGATTGAAGTTCCATACTCCACCCCCGCTGTTTTGACTGAGAAATCAACCGCAATCTTTATCATCCAAAGGCGCAATGTGCCTCCGGAGGGGGGGGGGGCAGTTCTACTAGGAGCATCCACTAGGACTAAGCCTAACGCAAGGGGTCGAATCGCAAGGGGAAGAATTCCGAAGCGAATGAAAAGGCACAATGTGGCTCGGAAGGGGGGGGGCACCACGCAACATCGCGTCAAAATTACAGAAACGCTCCGTTTAGGACTAAGCTTTTGAAGAGGAGAGGAACTCCGGTGTACGGAAGCAATTTTCGTAGTTCTCCGGAGTTCGTCCCTGCTGTTTAGGCTTAGTCCTAGATGACTTTTTTCTCAGAGTGCGCCCCCCCCCCGAGCCACATTTGCGCCTGACAAAGTGCCCTAACGGCAGCCGTCGGATTCCCATTTCCGTCTAAAGACTTTAGTTCCAAAACTGCGAACCTTTCGTGAAATCTGACGCATTGTTATAGGCTGCCCCCGCGAGGAAACATTGCGCTCATTCAAAGTAATAAATTGAGGTCTTTCCGATGCAGAACCCGTCCGTGCTAGGAATGTTTTGAGTCATAGCATCCGCGATTATTTAACTAGATTTCACAGAATAATTCCCGCCTGGGGCGAAAGTTTTGTTCACAACCCAGCATTCTTGTGAAACATTCGCAAGGCGAACTGCGGCCAAAAACAGCAGTTAACAATCAAAAACAAGTCTGAAATAGTACAGTTTTGAAAAGCAATTCAAGATAAGCAATGTGGCCAAAAACAACAGACATGAACGTGGACACAAATAAACAAACGAGGTCATGTTTTGGAAGCGATGAGTCAAGTGGCGGCCTCAGTCGGCTGTTCGATTGGAGTCGTCTTCCATTTGAATCGGAGACTTTCGCGCCAGTTCTACCCGACCTCCGAGGAGCGAGGGTTGTCCGCGCAGCGCATATCTGATCGTGATCGCACCATCTGTCGTCGGTTCCCTCGTTCCGCGTATCGACAAACTTTCTTGGTGGAGGGGGGGGCTTGAGGGAGTGATCGATTACTTTACTTTACATACAGTTCATTTACAATAGGGGTGGCCAATCAATTCATTTCTCCGCTTGTTGCGGGAATCCAAAGCGAGTTGTTCGCTTGAATGGCGTGTCATGGATGTTACCCATCAATTCCAGCCTGATGCTTTATGCGTTCGCCCGTATATGTCTTTTTTTTACCTAAATGGCAAAGGAAACTCGGCGTTTTCAGTATTGAGACATGCCCTTCATCTCGCGGAGGCCAATTGAGTGGGATGACGAGAGAACGCATCTGCCCAATGACCTGGCCCACAAAGGAGAGCTGAACTGGTTCGATCATGGCACCTGTATTGATCGACTTTTTGGATACAGCTTTTTAATGAGTGATGATCAGAGCTGTTTACAGGCTGACAGCTGCTCAACGCTGACCAGTCAGTCCTCTTCAACTGCACCATAACGTCGTCAAATTTGAATCAGAATCATAAAGCCATCTGAATGAGTGCCTTCTAATCCTCACAAGCGAATTTAATACTATATGGGCCAAATGAAAGGGAAGGGTTGATTTTTGGTAACAGGTGGATTTCATTTTTTTTATGAAGAATGCATGAGCTAAACCAGTTGTTTCCTTCGCTAATTGGTGCTAACTTAGTTTGGGGGGGGGGGACCACGCGGCGGCGCGGCGCTCTGTTCGTCTGCTCCTCTAAGGCTTAGTCCAAGGGGCAGTTACTATTTCGTCGCCACGTGGCAGTTTCGAAACGCGCGCCATCGGCGACTTCCCCCCCCCAACTGAGTTAGTACCCGCTACTTTATTTTGTTAGGCTGGTGCCGGTGTCGCGTATCCGTCGCAGGTTTCGCTGATTTTCGCGATTTACGCGATTTTGGCGATTTGCACGTGTTGATCCGGCACTTGTGATTTCCGTGATCCGTAGCGTGAATCGCGTGCAACTCGCGAAGGTCAGCGAAACTGCGACCGATTGCGGACTCTGCCCACCAGCTATATGCATATCGACTCGACTCCTACGGTCGTGGCAAGAATGTTCTGTCTATTCTTGCGACTATGGGTGCGTAGCGTTTCTCCTCCTGGGGTCAGGTCACCTAAAATTGAGACGCCGTTCATTCGCTCGGAGCAAGCTTAGGACTAAGCCTAGGCCCAATCATAGGCTTAGGCATAAGCCAATGTGTAAGCATAAGCCTTAACCTAAGTCTAAACCCAAACTTAACCTTAAGCTTCAATGATCGCGCAACTGTGGTGGACCTGACCCCAGGAGGAGAAACGCACGTCTCCCAGTCCGATGACAGATGAGGGCATTTTATCAGCAAAAACCAGCAAGAGGATTACACGGCGTTCTACGACAGAGTTAGAGCATCCAACTTTCAAGATTCTGACAGCTTGAATGTGCGTAAATGAAATTAGAAAACTCCTTCGACGATCTAATGATATTTCGAACCAAGTCAAAAGTAGAATTCGACCAAAATTTCCAACAATTAGAGCAGGAGCAAGCCCTATTGGACCCAGACCACTCCTGCACAGCAGGGTGAATATCGCTTGAGGATTCCTCAACGGCACGTCGAGGATTCTCTGCCCGATCAGAGACGATCTCTCGCGCGGACATTCACACTCGCCATGCCGTGCCGTCTGTGCTCTCCGCGCGGATGTTCACTCTCGGCACTACTCTCGCATGGTAGAGAGCTATGGTCGAGGATTTCCTCGACCGTTATTCACCCTGCTTACAGTGTAAGCGTACATTCTTCCGTATAATGTCCCAATCGGACATTAGCTTTGTTCCACTAATGAAATGGGGGAAATGTGTATTTGAAAAGTTTAGTTAAATTGCCAACTTAGTTTTAAAAAATACTCATTTGAGCGGAGATTTCGTGGCGGCAAATCCCGTGCGCATGTTCCTGAATCAAACCTTGCACCCAATTCAGCGCACTCCAGCCAAATTTTTATAGATGATTAGTTGTTGCTAGGAGACGCTAGTTTCTGCACAAAACACATAGGTAATCTAGTTTTAAAAAAGCCGTAGCCTAAGGGTTAAGGAGCCCGGCCTGATGGCGGTGTCATATACAGGACCATTTGAGCTTTTATTCATGCGAACTTGTGTAGAAATGCTTCTGTCAAAAAATGAATGTGTCCTGCCTCTCAAGTAATATATCCACAAAGAGCTCAGTATCTCCCAGCTGCAGTACCGGGTCCCCTTGCTACTTGCGTACCTGCACCTCGTTTCACCTGTGCTACATATTTGTGGTTCGCACTCCGTAGTTTTGATCATTTTTCCTGCTAAAAACTGCCTTCGTTCGCAGAAATTAATACAGTCTGGATTCAATCCACAAGTTTTTTTCTCGCTTTACTTACCATACCCGAACCTTTTCCTGTCTTTCTGAAAAGTGCTGGCAAGTGTCTATGTCCAAGATAAATTTTAGTGTCGAAGCTGATCACTTAATACATCCACAACTGTTTTACGGCCACAATTGCGAAAATTGAAGAGGATTTAGTGTGCAAGTGGATGTGGCTGCAGTGATACGCAGTCGGCGAAAAAAAGCCAGAGAATACCGTCAAGAAACGCCAATGGGAATCCGGCTTTTTCTGGCCGTTGGTTTTCAACTTATCAACAGGTAACAGCTCAGGAAGTGGAGTTATGAACGAGTCTCACCGCAATGTTGTTTGATGGCACATATACCAAATCACGCTTTAATCGAGATGCTCTATTTCGCGCCGCTGCTGGCCACGCAGCTCGTCCAAATCAAACACAACTAACTGGTGGGCGGATCGCTTTTAGGGGCGGAGTGCCTTCGAAGTCCTGCTCAGCAACCAGCGCACATTCTCTCGTATGCCGAACGCGCCACAATTTGCATTACGGCAGCTTAACTACCCTCGCCTTCAAATAACCAGAAAATGTGCAATTGCAGAAATTGACGTGGCATTGACGTGGCATCGAATCAAGAACATCTTTGAGCACACGTGACGTCACCTTTTCATCGAGAATTTAGCCACGTGTGCCACGTGGATTTCTGGCTGCATGAAACGGAGTGTAAGTGTTTCGTGTTGTGCATATGCTACCCCGATGCGCTCCCTCTTAACGTAATCGCTTCCTTTAAAGGAATCCTTCATGGAAAAATTATGATTCTATCTCACACATAAACCATCGGCTTGGGTCCCATCACTCACAGTTAGAACGAAAGAGTCAAATTGTTTGTTTTGGTAAACAATTCGGAAAACCGGAAGGACTGCTTTGCGCTCAAATTTCCGCCGGACATGTGTCACAATCGTTTCGGTGCGGGATCGCATCCTTACCTTGGTTCACCGATCAGGTTATCTCCGAAACTATTTTTGATCTTTTACTTATAGGAGCAAGATCTCAAACTTCCACTGAATCCTACTCCAGCGATCTTTTTGTCTCTATTCTCCAAAATCGCACGCTTAGCCCGATTCTTTCGATACTTTATACGTGGCACTCACCCCAAGGCGGCCAACCCATTCTTTCCCAATGCCGGCCGCTTTGGTGCCCAGGCGGTCTACCT